TGTAATAGACAGTCCTTTATTTTTATTTGAGACGGGGTCTCACTATATAGCCCGGCTGGCCTCAAACTCCCTATTGTAGCCCAGGCTAGACTCAAACTTAAAATTCTCCTGCCTCGGTTTCCTGACTGCTGGCATTACAGGCAGGTACCACCATACCTGGGCAACACTCATTAGTCTAACTTTCATATGATTTTGGTGTTAAAATATTTTCTGTGTCATAAAGAGATACTAAAGATACAGAATTATTGTGAGTTATCTTCACAAGCTCTGAGGCATGCTTCCCAATATTTTTGGGAAAGTTACACTAGTTCATTAAATACAAGTTTGGAACCCAAGCGCCAGACAGTGAAGAATCGCAGAGTGATATTATGGAAAGAGTCCTAGGACGGGGAATACCTCTTAGTCTAATGTAGATATTCATCATGAAGTCTTGAGTGGCTCCTTTCCTTTCTTGTGGACTGTCCTTACTCTACTTTGAGGGAATGGGACCAGATGACTTCTTAGCTCCTGGTAACTTCAGCTAATGACTTAACTTTTCTAATAATTCAGATGCAGAGCTCACTGGTAGATTATAGTGAGACTGTGGGTTACAGATTCAATGTATCCCATTTGTCCATGTCATGAAAAAACACAGAGAAGGTACTTTAAGGGAATCTGAAAATGGAATAGTCATAACAGCAAACCAACAAGATGCTCAACAGAGATGAGTCCATAATAAAAATGGTCTACGGTATGTCATAATGGTTGGGATACCAATAAGAAAGTTCTATATTGAGGACCACTGGCTTAGTCACATTGTGTTTGCCAAAGAGGAAATGAACATCTACTTACTCAAACTAAATTCCTCTTTAATTCTTTCCTTTATATTTCATCCTTTAAGAAATTCCTTAGGATATGTTTTGTTTGGTCCATTAAGCCCACAATGCCACTTTGAGAAGGAAACCTTCAAATAACTTCCTTAATGCATTAAAAATATGATAAAGTGGCTAGATGTGGGGGCTCCTGCCTGTAATCCCAGAGAGATTGGGAAGATTGTGGCTCAATGCCAATCTAGGCAAAAAAGTTATTACCCCTTTCTCAACAAAACAAGTTGGGTGTGGTGGTGCACACCCTGCAAGGTTGGGAGAATGACTGTCCCATCATTACCCAGGACAGCATGGGTAAAAGCAAGACCCTATCTGAAAAATACCTGAAAAGTAAAAAGGGCTGCAACATGGTTCAAGTGGTAGGCACAAGGGCCTGAGTTCAAATGCTAATACTACCAAAAAGATGATAACGCGACTTGCTGATTTAGCATAGAGTCTAAGTCCCTGCTCTGTGCGCAGTAAACCACGTCTTTACTCAATAAGTATGTGGTGGACATATTTTTAATAAAATTGTACTTGCACTGGGATTTTGCCTCATTATTAATATATCTAGAAACTGTTCTTTTTTTTTAAAGATAAAGACAAAGCTAAATACTCCAGGAGATCTCTTAGTATAGCTATTGTACAGCTTTTGTGCTTCCGGAATTGTCATAACAAGCTTAACTGCTCTCGGGGACTCTGATCCAGTATCACCATCAAAATGTTTTACAATTTGGCCAAATGTTTGTGGAACAGCTGTGCTACTAGTCTGCCTGAGTCATTTTACTTCTTTCCTTTTGGCTCAATCCTGTGATTCATCATTCTGCTTTTAGAATATTTGCCTATTTTTAAAACCAGTCAAAGAAGGCAGCCACTGTTTAAAAGTAAACACCCACACATCAACTTGGGGCAGCTTTGTAAGCAGCTTTGCAAGCCATGAATTTCTGGCAGGCAAGGATGCCAGCTAAACCAGATGGCAACAAGTAAGGAATTGCAGGGCTGGCTTTTCAGTCTTTGTCGTCTCCTTACATCTGTCTTTGGTTTTCTTGTTTCTGATGCCATTTCCTGCTTGGGTTAATCAAACTTAATCCATTCTTTAATAAGAATCTTACTTTCATTTTTCTTGTCTCTAAAATATCCTTTATATGTTTATTCTCATGTCAATCAATTAAACTTTTATTTCAACTCAGGAAATCCAATCTTCAGCCTTCATTTATCTGCAAAATTTTCATTATGGTCACATATGTATGCCTCAACATGGTGTGACTATAAATAATGATTTCCACATTGAGCCTCATTAATTCTGGGTCAAACTAGGTATTTTCTACTTACATAACTATAGTAAAGCAAATGGATAATTCCCCCCATCCGCCTTTTTAACATAATTAATCAGGAAGTAGTGTGACTTCACAGAGGGCCAGGTGGATTAAGCGTCAGGAAGCACTGAGTTCCATTCCTGTGTATCTTCTAGAATTCCACAATACCCTGTCTGTGCTTGTACTTTACGGAAGTCGCTTCTCCTTCCAACAAGTGCCTACTTGTCTATGATTACTAGTGTTGGAATGCCAAAGTATAATATGTTCCCATTTACCTGTGCCAAATTGTTCTGGCCATGGACCCAATGAGCTAAAAAAATTCATGATGTCTAGGTTTTTGAAATTGTACTGGAATAAATTAAGTGTATGTAAGAACAAAATCAATTTTACAACATATAAATTTTAAATGAAGGTGATTGCTATAAATGTCCAGGTAGTGACAAGTGGATGTTTCTGCCTTTTGTCCAATTCTTTGCAAATGATAGAGTGGAGTAGAGTGGATTTAAAAAGCCAGAGTAATTGGCTAAACTTTTTTTGCTTCTAGTCTTAGTAGGAAGAGAGCATTCAAAGGGTCTGGGGATTGAACCTTCTACGAAGTTCAACTTAAGCAATGTCACCAAACCTGCGGGTATCCATTGAGCAGCACAGGTGCAGGTACAAAATGGATTTAAATTTGGTGACCTATTGCCATTATTTTAAGCCACTTTAAAATGGGAGTATTATTATACAGTCTTAACTAAAATACACCAACTGCTATTAAGTGACAAGCCCCTTGAGGTATTTGGCAGACGATTTGCTGAAATGATCTCCCTGGTGATTATCATCCAATATCAAAGAGAAGCTAAGGGAGCCTGTGTACTGCACTTTTCTTTGGACTGTGCTATCAGCCCTTTGAGAGAGGGTATAGTTGGCCCTGTGTATTTGTGAGTTCTGCATAGTGGATTTAACTACCTGAGAGTCAACACATTTAAAAAAATTGTGTCCATCTAAAATTGTACAGAATTTTCTTGTCATTATTCCCTATACTGTACAGTATAATTACTCATACTGACAATTCCATTGTATTAGGTATAGAAGGAATCTAGACATGATTTGAAGTATATGGAGGATATGCTTAAGTTCTGTGTAAAAACTTCATCTTATATGAGGACTTAAGCATGCTCAGCTGGAACCAAACTCCCACAGAGACAAAAGATGACTATGCTTGTTTCTTCATTGTGATGGCATATGTCACTACCCTTAATTCAATAGAACATCCATTAGTTTTTGTCAATAAATTTGATTATGCTAGTGAGAATATAAAAACCATTATCTTTCCTTGCTTTATTATAATTTAAAATAGCTTTAGATTTTAAGATATTCTGAGTGTGGGTTTTGTTGTATTCTCACAGTTGTGTACTAGGGTTGGTGTTGGAAATGAATGAACAATGGACCTTCAGAGCCAGAGTTGCTCTGAGAGATAGAGGTTCTGCTTACCCTGGAGCTGCTCTTTGGCGCCAGGACTGGGTCAACAATCTGTTCTTTTTCTTTTTAAAAAAATTATCATATTATTGTTTACTCGGAGTACACTGTGACATTTACAAAATTTCTTACAACATATCATAGTTGAATGTATCCCCTCCATGTTCTCCTTTATCCTCCCACCCCATTCCTGGAATAGTTTCAACAGGTCTCATTTTTCCATTTTCATACCTGAGCACATAATATTCCTACCACATTTACCCTCCTACACCTTTCTTTTATCCCCCCCCTCCCACTGGTACAAACCCCTTTGAGGACCTGTTTTACCTTCCTGTTCTATGTTTCTGAAAAAGAAAGAAAATTTTGTCTGTTTAAGATAGCTATACAGGGAGTTTCCTTGTAACATTTCCATGTATATATGCATTATAATCTGAACTGGCTCATCCCTTCTATTTTAGTCTCTTTCTTAGAGTGATTTCAAAAGGTTTAAAAAGTCTATGTTCATTTTTGTATAAAAAGTACATCAACCATATTCACCTTCTTAACTTCCTTATTTAACCCTCCCTCTCCCAGAAATCTGCTTGTGAAGAGATTTTGGGGGTGACTTGGATATTTAGGCCAAATTTCTGTTAGGTTCCTTAGATGCCTTGGAAGGCACCTTTTCCTGCAGCCAGAGCTGTCTGTTGCCCATCACTGAAGCGCTCGTTGGGGAGGAATCTCAGGCCATTGAGGGCAGAGATGCCACAGCTGTTGGTGACTAGACTCAGCTGAAACCCGTAGATTCTGCCTCAGGTTGGGAGTGCTGCCTGGCATGCGGGGAGAAATGCCCTGTTGACCCGCTACTGCCCATTGCCCACTGTAGTCCAGAACGAGTTCCTGGTGAACTGCCTGTTAGGCTTGTGGTAAGAGCAGAGGGGAGAACATTTAGGCTTCAATGCTAGCAGTCATTTAAACCAGAACTAATGCTGTCAGTTCTGCCCTGTTGAGGTTATTCTGGCCACCTTATTAGCACCTTGTAAAGCACTTTCCTACGGATCATATTTGTTTGGTTTTGGCTAATATGGGGAGTATTGGTACATTTTCTTAGTTGGAGAGCTACTAGATTGGACATCTGAGGAATCCAATATACATAAGTATATATTTATACTTATATATTAATAGTATATATTTATAAATGCAAAATTTTGGTCAGGGCAACTATATACAGAAACTGAGCAAATTGTCTTCTACATTCTTCTGTCCCCAACTGAAGTCATGAAAATCACTGGAGCAGTACCTACTGATGGCTTACATATGTGGGTGCAAGGCTGGTCCCTGGGGGTGACTCTCAGGAGACTTAGAGCTCTTGGTGAAAAGTTATTTTCTGTTCATGTTTTAGATGATACACCTCCTGAAGACTCCATTCCTCTGGTCTTTCCAGAATTAGACCAGCATCTACAGGTAAGGATTTCTCTCAGGTCTTTCTCACAGTGTCACAAAATACAGTGAGCTGGGGAGTAGCCTAACTGGGAAAGACTGACTTGAACAGGAGTGGGGTTTCTACATCATCAACATTTATATTTCTAGAGCTCTGACCTGGTTATCTGGCTGGGTCACCAGGACTTCAAATGCTTGTAAGTGTAACCTAACTACTTTCTGAAGGAGCCTAGAGCCCATGAAAAGGACTGGTCCCTGTCCTTTGCTATGAGTGTCTCTGGGTCATTGGAATTTTGGTTCTGCTTGGGTTAATGATTTAACAATAAATTCTGCAGAGAATATTTATTGTGTCTGCCAAGACTTTGGAATCATCTTCTTTTCTCTATTGCCTGCCCCTTCTTCTCTGACAACTTTTAGTGAAATGTGATTATTGTGAGTTAAACCTTCAGAAAACTGTTGGTTTGACCTGTGAAAGAAAAATATTTTGTATGCATCGATTCTGGATGATCTGTTAAAAGATATCCCAGCTGAATTTACCAGGATTGATTTTTTTTTTTGAAAGGAGGTAATTTGTGGCATTTTAATTTGCTTTGGATGATATATGGTGATTCCAGGCAAAGGTGATTATAGAAAAAGTCTCTGCTTATAGTACCTGGATATTGGCCTTGGCTCAGCCATTCACTTGAGTACTTAACTTTGCAATCGCCATTAGATGAGTCTAACAAAGATCTTGAATCCTGTACAAGACAGGCATTTTGCTTGGTCACCATCTTTTTCTCCAAATGCTGATTTTGAAAGTCTTTAGGAGGGGTCTGTAATCTCCAATTCCCAACAGACCCTAACATTCTGTATTGTTGAAAATCTTTTATCCAAAATGCTTAGACCTAAAAATGCTTTTTTTTTCCTTTTTGATTTGGGACTACATAATGAGGTGTCTTAGGGACAGCACCCATTTTTAACATGAAATTCATTTATGTTTAGTACATACCTTGTGCACACAGCTGAAGGTAACTTTTCTAGTGTACCTGCATTTTGACTGTGACTCATCACAGAGTCAGGTATGGAAGTTTTCACTTGTGGTATCAGATCAGCACTCAAAAAGTTTGGATTTGGAGCATTTTGGATATTGGATTTTCAGTGTAGGGATGTTCACACTTTTGCCTGGTGTCCTAAACTCATTTGAGTTCTACATCGTCTGTTCCTGGACAGACATGGGAAGAACCAAGAATGAGCCTTTGTACAGCCTAAGATGGTGCTCCTTTCTGGTTGCTTCTGCTCTAATCTTAGTGCCAGGTACACTGAGTTAAAAGCCTGGAAGTAACCCTAGCTATTTGGGAAGTGGAAATCTGGAGGATCACAGTTTGAGGTCAGCCTAGGCAAAAGGTTAGCATGACACCATCTCAACAAACAAACTTGCAATACTGGTATGTATTATAATCCTAGCTAAATCTGAGGTGTAAGTAGGAAAATCAAGGTGCGAGGCCAGTCCCCAAGCAAAAATGAGACCCTGCCTGAAAAATAAAATAAAAAGGCCTGGGGGTGTGGCTCAAGTGGTATAGTGCCTGTTTAGCAAGCATGAGACTCTGAATTCAAACTCCAGTACTGCCAAGAAGTAAGTAAGTAAGTAAATAAATAAAAAGCCTGGAAATAAGGAAGTCAGGTTGGAAAAGCTGGTGTCCAACTGCTGGAATGGCCCCTAAAAACCAACCCAGAGCAACTCAGGTGTGACTCGAATTCTTGGAAGAGCCTCATTCTCACCTCCTTAAGCAATTCTGGACATTAATTCACAAGCTTCTAGCAGCCAGCCAGCTCAACAGAGCACCGTCAGATTCATGGTTGTGACTGAAGATTGCCTAGGAGGTGGAGGGTTATGTATCACGTAGCTGTCAAAGGACGGCTTTGTAATCCTCTAACATTTTCTCTCAGGCCATCAACCATTTTGTCTCCCTCTAGTCCTGTTTCCATGCAGGGTTGTCAACCCGTCTCTCCTGGTTCCTGACACTGAAACATACTCTCCTTTCCTCCCACACTAACACTTTGCCTTTTCAGCCGGGAGAACTCATCAGCCCTCCTTCTAGTTTGCTCACACCGCACACCACATTTCTGGTATGGGTTCTGTCTTCACAGAGGGGCTGTCTATGTGCTGGTGGTGGTGTACTTAGAATTGTAAAATAATAACTATTTTCCCTCCAGTAGCCATTTGTCCCTTTATTATATTGTCACCTCAAAACAATTTTATCATCATAATTGGATTAAAGCAAGGAGTAATCATGACTGGAAAATAAAACAGAAGTATATTCAGGTCCTTGTTCCCCATCGAATGATGGAATGACAAATTCTATTTTTTTGTATTGAAAAAACATTTTTTTCCATTGAGAATATTAATGGTCTTCCTTGGCTTGTGGACAAGTTTGCACAGGATCCATAGCACCCCTGCCAATTATTCAGATAATTTTTCTGTTAAAGCATCACTAGGTCCATTTCAGTTTTATAGCTTTAATTCTATTGGACATGTATTAGAAATTAAATCTATTTAATTATTTTACACCAGTGAGATTAGTTCATCTTCACTGATCTTTAATGAGGTAGACATTTGAAAGAGTGGCTTCTGCATCAGAGGTTTGACTTTTCTCCCCTTCAAATATGCTGTTACTTTGCCTCCTTCTGAACAGAGAGAATGTTATAAGCATTACAACAAAACACATTTAAGTAAGTGCTTGTTTATTGGGTGAAGGATATGACTGAGTTTGTTACAAACATTTACCAGTTGTCAAGACATTTGGCAAGGACTGCTCTGCCTAGAGCTGATGTCTGAAGTTTTATTCTACACTCCAGGGCATGAGTGACTGAGAAAGCAAAGCAGTCAGGACTGAAAAGGGAAAGCTAACATAGAAAAACAACATCTAAGAGCAGATTCTTGTTTCCATTATGAGCATAAGAACAGATACTTAGGGCATTTGGCAACAGGAAGTCTCTGTATTGAAGGCAATGAAAATGTTTTATGTACTACGGAATGATCAGCTTCTTTATAGTCTGACTCGTGCGCTTTTATCACATAGTACTGGCTCTTGGAATTTTTTTACTGACTCGCTTACTCCACTATGGAAGAATAAAAGTGGATTACTAAGGTATATGAAGTGCCTAGTGGGTGTTACTATTTGTCTGTGGATGAACTGACTTTTGATTACCTTTATGGGAGCCTTAAAAACTTGCTCACTGAAAAATAAATGATGCCAGGTGGTTATTGCCAGATCTGCTCAGATTTAAGTCCCGCACCACCTACTATTCAGGAGATGTTTTCCTATATACAATCTTATTTGTTCCTTGCAATCATTATATAAATTAACTATTATGTCTCCAGTTTACAGATGTGAAACTTGGCTTCAAATTTTGGACTCAGTAAGTTTGCTATTCTCCTTTAATACTCTTTGTGGAAAGTATGGGCTGCTTAAATTACTTTGATAGTGGGAGATCTTTTTGGTTCTGGTGTGCAAGGTTGCCATGGTGTAGTTCTGAACAATCTTGGCAAACTTGTTCTGACTTTCTGATATCCATTGCACATTCTTAGGTAATTTATAAAGTGCAGCTATAAAATATCTATTTGTTAGATACTCTATCACCATTTTGACCCCCCAGATTTTTTTGTTGCTTTGCCAAGAATGTGAACATGTTTGAGCATGTAATTTGTGGTGCTTCTATTTTCACAGAAGCCAAAAAAAGCCTTGGGCAAGAATAGCAGTGACAAACATTTCTCTTGATGTCTCTATTAGGGTGATATGTTGGGCAAGAGACCTCAGGGTAAGGTAGGTGTCAAAATGAACCTCTCTTCATAATGTTCATTTCTGGACCTTGGACCTCTGCCGAAGGTCAAGTGGAAGGTTAATTCTATTTTGTGCAGATACCTTTCATGGGACCAGGTTTCTAAATTCTCCAGTTCCATCAGGGGCAGTATTTGGGTAGAATTTGCTTAGATGATATAGTGAGAGGAAAGGAAGCACAATTTGGAAGCATGGATGAAAAATTATTACTTTTCTTTAGATTTCAGTTTCTTGCTTTTTGGAAAAGCAGTAATGACCGTCCTTCCACTTTCTCTATTCTGAAGGGCAGTGGAATGCTTTCAGAGTCCTAGGATTTTGGTCAAGATCAAGACTGTCATACAGCTTGTCCATATTTTTGTTTTGGGACCTGTGGCTTGACCTATATAATACCCAAAGCTATAGTGTAGTCTTTTTTTTTTTTTGCAGTACTGGGGCTTGAACTCAGGGTCTATACCTTGAGCCACTCCACCAGCCCTTTTTTTGTGATAGGTTTTTTCAAGATAGGGTGTCTCAGGTCTCAGGAACTATTTGCCGGGACTGTCTTCGACCCGTGATTCTCCTGATCTCTGCCTCCTGAGTAGCTAGGATTATAGGCATGAGCTTCTGGTGCCTGGCTTAGTGTATAGTCTTAATTATATTGTAATGAGGAGTATGGTTTTAAGATTAAGCAGAGAATGTGGTAAAAAGTACTTGTAAAACACCTCCCATTAAAATTTCCATCATAATGGGAATTATAATGATTAAAGCATGGACATTTGCAGAGATTGGCCTGGATTTGGATCTCAGCTCTGCAATAGTTTTGTGACTTGGTAATATTATTTATCCTCTCTAAATCTCACTTTTTCCAACTGCAAAGTTCAGATAATGTATGTCTTAGATTGTTGTGGGAACTAAACATGGTAATGCATAAATATGGCACAGTGCTTGATAAAAGAATTGCTTAAATATTGTAAATTTCCTTCCCTGGTGAAACTGTTGATGGAGCAAAATATTTAAACACAAGTAGTTAATCTCAAAATGTGTAAAGTGAAGTAAAAGAAGCATCCCGTGGGAGTTTTGAGTTAGGGATAGAGTTTTCTGATGCCTTCTTCATTTCATCAGGAGAATGTACATGGAAGACATAGGATTTTCTTTTAAAACTAAGTTGAGCAATAGCTTTCACCTCTCCTAAAGTCCTCCCATCTGGTCAGAGATGACAGTGACAGGTGTCTCTGGTACACACTGAACTTGCCTTTTCTCAGACAGACGGAGATAAGTCCAGAAACTGATGTCACCTCCACAAATAAACAATTTCAGAACTTCACTGGAGTACCATAATATCTTGTTATCCAAGCAGCTTCTCCAGAATCTTCTTTTTAGGACCTGTATCAATATATTGCTTAACATTTGGGAAATGAAAATGGTAGATGAGGCAGTCATGGCATTCCAAGATTCTGCTACAATTATCTTTAATATCCAGCTGGAAATGTGATTAGAAAAGGCTTGTAGGAAGCCTGTATATGGTGATCATTTTTTTTCTCATACACGCGTTGAAAAGTATCGAACAGTTCTCCTAACTATCTTAGAGTTGTTCCCTTGGCCACCTAGAAAACATGTACAGATACATTGGGGCTTTGAATAGTACTTTTAATTTTTTTTGAGAAGCCCAATTAGTGGTCATTAGGGTATAACTTGTTGGAAAACATGAGACATTTTTGAGTTATCTTGCCCTTTTATATTGCTTACATCAAAAGGAATGACTTAAATATACTCTGCTCCAAGATAGTATGTATAAGTTATGAAGTGTAAGTAGTAGTGCTTACTAGGATTAAGTAGAGATACTATAGAAATGTCAGTTCCTAACATATATTTTAAATACTTAAACTTATAAAGTAATCCAATTTTTAATGATGAGAATTAGCCTGGACTACGTCTTTCCTCTTAGATTTAATAATTTTAACAGTGCTTGTTCATCTTGAGACATTAAAATGCAATATAACCCCTCCTCTCCCCTCAAAATAAATAACCCTGAGAAAATAGGTAACACTGGAAATCAAGGAATAAATAATACAAAGTCTGCTCAACCCTTGTAGAATGTTTAGCTACCTAAATATATCGCCTGTGTGGGAAGCTGGAATAGGAAAATAAAATTCTTACATTTTTAACGTGGATGGGGCCAGTAGTATTTGAAGAAGCCAAGGAGAAAGCCGAAACGCCTAAGCTGGCTTTGCCCCTTGCTGCGCTGTTTCCCATGGGGCCCTTTCCAAAGGCTGGAATCCACTCGTGCTGTGAATCCATGGCTGAGGTGGTGTGGTGGGGCTCAGTGGCATTTCTTGGACTAGGACCCTGCGGTTTCTCTCTTACTTCATCTAGTTAAATCCGTCTCGATGATTGGGCTGAATACCAGAGACAGTAGCAGCTACCTTGCACTGCCATGTAATTTAAAACCTCTGGAGCTCCATCCTCAGACAGCTGTAGGAGGGGGTGGAGATGGAGGAAATGGGGTGAAGAGGAAGTGCCTTACCCCTGGGATCAGACCCCATCCAAGCTTCAGTCTGTATCCTGAAAAATAGCTTACAAAGTTGGATTGAGTTGTTGTTAGGAGAATGCTTTAACTTCCTTAAAACTCTGTGCTGTATAATCAGTTGCCTTCACATTAAGTGTGTCCAAAAAGTTGTTTCTGCGATCATAGGGAATTTAGGTTCTAGAACCTTAAGAATATCTTTACCTTTTAATTGTTCAAATCTGACTATGTGGGGATTCATTTTCTTTGGAATTCTGTATTTCGTTCTTTAAGAAAGTGTGTTGAATGACTAACTGCATTCCAAAGTATGGGAAATGTAATTAGATTATGGAATGAATAACAAGGAAAATTTCTCCTCCTGATTTTAAAAGAAATTATCAATATAAAGAGTTTATTTATTGCTCACCCACACCCAGCATGGAATTTTAACTCTGAAAATCTAGCAGAAATAATCAAAACCAAGCAATGGTAATTGAAAGCATTACTTTTATTCTAGAAAGTGTAACAGAAGAGAAAATGGAATCAAAGTACATTCTATGCACGTGTTGAGATGTCATGATGAAACATGCTATGTACAGTTTGACATATGCCAATAGGAAGGTCATTGAAAAGTTGATGTTTTCTATTTGGTTGCTGCAGGCATTCTCTTAAGGATTTTTTGTTTGTTTTAATTTGGGCATGTTTCACATGGGATCTTAAACTGATACTTAGATGATTAATTGTCCACTGACAGTGTTTTAGACATTCTACTGTTCCATAAACACAAATTTTTATTCAATGAATGCTGTTGGTCATTGCCTCTTATTTTCAGAGGGCATAAAAAGGTAAAAAAGGTAAAAAAAGAACAACTATCAGCAAGGACCTAATGTTGTGACACGCATGCAATGAGAGTATTTGGATATATAGAACCACACATCTCACTATTTCTACTTTTTAATAATAGGTATAAAATAAAATATCCTGATGTTTTTATTCACTAGAATTCCTGTTGGACTGAGAAAACCCTGTGCATTGAAGCAAATTCTCTGATGAGTTTCCTTGGCTGGGGTAAATGTCCACTGAGTAAGCTGTCTTCCAAGGGCAGTAGATCCTGCTGACCAGAGGACCTTTGATTTACCCAGCAACATTTGTGGTTAGCAGTGAAAGGCTTGGACTTATAAAGGTGTGAGAATTTGTAGTTCCTCAGAGAGCAGTTTGGAAAAGAAAAATGTTGGGTAGAAAGGGAGCGAGCCTCAGATTGGGAGGCTGGTAGCAATGCATCAAAGATGGACTAGGGGCCATGGAAAGGTCTGATGAAAGAATTATGATGATGATGATGATGATGGTATAGGGGTTTGAGCTTACTTGAACTATGCCCCCAATCATCTTATTTATTTAGTTTTTCAATTTTGTTTTTGAGCTAGGGTCTCACTAATTTACTTGGGTTGGCCTCAGTCTCGATCCTCCTGTCTGTTTCCCTAGCAGGTAGGATTATAGGCATGCACTGCCATGCCCACTGCACTAACTTTGTTTTATGTGATAACAATGCATAGGATAAAGTTTACCATCAGAGACATTTCTAAGTGTAAGTACATTCACAGTGTTGTGCAACCCTTGCCCACACCTTTATCACAGTCTTGCAAAATTGAAACTTTATACTCACAAAACAACAACTTCCCATTCCCCACCCTGCAGTCTCTGGAAACCAATGAGATAACTTACAATATTATGGTGGGTTGTGAAATATAGCCTCTTTCCTTGCTTAAAAAAAAAAAAGCGAGATCTATATTGCTCTTTCATGTCTTCATGCAAATTGGGAGGCCCTGATGTGGTGCTGAGTTGTGTGTCAGGTTTGGGTGAAGACAGTTTCAGGAGCTAGCAACTGAAGTGACACCTGGCATCTTGTTACTATTGGAAACACTGGGCATTGTATATTTTTGACTGATTCTTTTTAAATTTCCACTTCTTTATTGTGGGAAATCTTGAAAATATTATTTTATATAGGTTGCATGATCATCCTGATATGAGCGTATGAAAATTCTGAACATATCCTGAAATGCTACCTGTTTTCATGCATCCTTAACAGTGTCATCACACTACTTATCTATAATAGCTAAATTTCATACAATTAAGAAGTGCAGAAAAATGAACAAATGAGAAAAAGTTCCCACTTAATAAAAAGGATTGCAGTGTGATGAGCCAAGGGGAAAGGGAAATTCTCTCTTTTCTTAAGAAAGTTGTGTTTTCAGTGTTCCTGCTAAATTTTAGCAGCAAAGGACACTGCTGCCTTGACGTGGTGCTCTCATCTATATTCTCTTAAGCATGGAAATCTGTTCCACACACTTCTATTTTCTTTTGTCTATGACCTAGGTAACTATGCTGTATTTGTGGCTTACCATAGTGGCAAGTGAAGGACTGAACTCTTGTTTGAGCTGAGCAAGGCCCATGTGGTGTTCATACTTACAGGAGAGGATGTGTAGTTTGATGGCTGCCAGTAGGCAAATCCTTTAACAGGGCACAGATGACTTAACAGCTTGGCTAGGGAGCCCAGGGTACATTGCTTACATTCCTCTGACTGTTATACATGATAATTTGCCAGTGTAACAGGTGAAAATTGGTGAGTGGGTGGTGATTTCTGGGACACAGACTGGAGGAGCCAGGAGATCTGAATTCCTTTGGCCACAGCTTCATCTCATGGGGTGAATTACATTGTGGTTCCATTGTATGCCACTTTTCAATTTATTTCTATATAAAAAGGGAGAATGGTTCTGATATGCCAAGTTTATGCTGTGAAAATGTTCATGGGGCAGCAGGGAATGATACTACATTGTGTGATTATTATTAGATTTTACATGTAAATTTAATCCTAATCTATTTAGAATTTTAAAAATATATCTCCTAAAATTTTTATTTTTGATGAACATGTGTTATGCATACTGATGGGAGTTTACTGTGGCCTTTTGACACTTGTGTGTAGCTATTTAGGATTTTATTTCCTTTAGAACGTCTGTACTCAGAGATCCCACGATAAATAGGGAGGGTCATCATATCCATCAATTAGGTAGTAAACTTTATGGAATTTCTGTTACACCCTGGGTATTCTTAAAATAGGATTTTTGCCAGGTTGTGTTCCAAAATTGCCACACTGGCCTGTTTCCCTCATGATGGAGAAAACACGAATCTACTCTCTCCTCAGCCTTATGTGTTACAGGCAGGTTTTATTTGGGGTCTGATCTTTCATCCAGATTTGTTAATTCTTGTCAGCATCATTTCTTCGGGTTGGATGCATTTCTCAGAAGAGAGTGTTTTCCCTGGGCCTACTCTGTTCTTCAGGATGAGATTATGCCTCTGGGCCAGTAGAACAGAAAGAAGGGGTAATTGAAACAGACAACTGAAATATTTCCCCACCACTGCCTTCCTCTAAAGGAGCTTAAGATTTCTGGGGAGAGTTGCAGAATCATTAGGAAACTTACTTTTATTCCAATAAATGACAGGCAGCTGACATGTAATGGGTTTCAGGGCTCTGGCTTAGGTCTGAGATACCCATGAATGTCCAGAAGATGGATGTAGGAAGTAATCAGTCCACTTCTCTATTTTAGTCAAATAGAATCAGCCAAACTGTATAATGTTGAGTGATGATGGTGTGTTTATGCAAAAAATCTCCCCCTAAAGAAAAATGTTAGAGCAAAATGGTTGGTAATGAATTGTAATGCAAAGAGATGGACTGATTGCCTCTTCTTGTTTTTGAAGCCTCTGCCACCTTGTCATGACTCCGTGGAATCCATGCAGGTATTCAAACAGCACTGCCAAATAGCAGAAGAGTACCATGAGGTCAAAAAAGAAATTGCCCTCCTTGAGGAAAGGAAGTAAGTACTTTTCTCCCCGAGCCCCTTCTTCTGGACAAAGACTGGGTTGGGTGTGAAGGAAGAGTATCATAGGAATGATCCAAATGGCCCTGCTGGAGATTAAGTGCTTTACTTTATGGAGTATTAACTTAATTTTTTAAATCAGAAATTTTAGTTCTGGAAATTAAAATTCCCAAAATAACCACTAGAGCCATGCTATGTACTCTATGAATTTACCCATAGGCCCCAGGGCACTTTGGTTGGGGTGGATTTTAATTAACGCTTAAATGGTGGGGTTCCCACATTAGGTAAAGAGCCACTTAGAAATATGTAAATGTATTAGTTGACTAACTATATTTTATAGCCCAAGCTATAAAATATAGCTTTTATTACTATTATAGTTCTTGCTGCAGGGAATTATATAGTTCCATTAATTACAGCACTCTAATTTTATTCATTCGTATTGTTTCAGAATTCCTCTTTTTAAATTGTACTCAATTTACCCCAGTGACTCTGTATTTTTTTATTCTTTCAAAGCTTCAGATTAGATACCTTGCTTTCATAGCACTGGTCAGTTTATACTTCTACATTGATTAGGGAAATCTATTGATTAATATTTGCATCTCCTGCTAAGTAGCAAGTGTCATAAAAACACCATTGAATTCCTTACATCCTTTTCTTCTTCTTCCTCTTTTTTGTTTTCTTGGTGGGACTGGGGTTTGAACTCAGGGCTTCTTGCTTGCAAAGGAGGACCTCTGTTGCTTCAGCTATACCTCCAGTCTGTTTTGGCTTGGGTATTTTGGAAATGGAGGACTCTCCAGATATTTGCCCATGCTGACCTTAAACCTTGATTCGCCTGATCTCAGTCTCCGAAGTAGCTAGGATTATAGGTCATAGGCACCCAGTTTGCATTGTGATTCTTTAATTTTATGTTTCTCCTCTCCTTCACCTTACACGAGTGACACATAATATGTAACTATTAGTTAATTTTTAAATGGAAGAAAGTGAAGTTATTTTATTTTGAGAAGTTAAGAAATTCTTAGAACTTCTTCCTGACTCCCCATAATAGTGGGTGGGTAATATAACAGTGTGGATTTTGGGAGCAGACTAACTACTACGTTTACTGTGAGACCTCAGTTAGCCCTTTCTTACTTCCTTGCTTTGCCACACGTCAAGCATAACATTTTACCTGGACTTTTGATTATGAGGGATTAAAATATGTTATTAAGAAATCAGAGATACAACTTTTTCCATCAATAATCTGAGGCTTCCATTTTGGTGCAAGAATCTTAATAAGTTGCCCAAAATATGCAGACTGTACATTTACATGCGGTCTGACTTCCAAAAAAAGTTTCATAAGAGAATTAAGGAAGGTTATTAATAATGTGACCAGTATCACCATCAAAGAGTATTTATCAAACTATTAAATCCATGTATGGAAATGTCATAATGAAACTCACTATTTTGTATAATTAATATATGCTAATAAAAGGAGAACTTACATGACCAGTAGCCTATAAATTGTGTATATGTGTGTGTGTGTGTGTGTGTGTGTATGTAAATGTGGTGTTATGACAGAAAAAAATCCAGGTATTAATTTCTATTTTGTAAACTCTTCAGACTGAATCTACTGGAAGACTTCATTACTTACATGAAACTTATGTGTGGCATTTTTTGGCAACACAAGAATCACCCACTAAATGATGTGTTCTGCAACTTTATCTATTTGTATGTTGCATTTAAAACTGATAGGATAATGACATAAGAATGACTCATATCTGATCTTTGAAACTTGTCCTTGCTGCTTATTTTCAGAAAAATGATAACTTGTGGGTACCACCACAATATTAAAATAAGAAAAGGCAAAGTTAACTTTAGAAAAGAGGTGGCTAGCAGACTAGCAAAGGTAATTTATACAACCTCCAGAACCACAAAGAAGTGGGCCAATTCCCCACTTAGGGACTCATATACTGTGTGTGTTTCTGTAGAACTCAGCTTGTTTCTTCCCCAAATCCATCTCTCTAAATAATTGGCTAGATCTGGGGCAAAAGCAAAATTATGTTTTTTTGTTCTGTTTTGAGACAGTGTCTCACTTTGTAGCCCAGGCTGGCTTGAAACTCAATTATATGGTGCATTCTGGCCTTGAACTCCCAGTCCTCCTGACTCTGCTACCCTAATGGTGGGATTACAGAAATGCACTACTATGTCTGGTGGCCAAATTATTTTGATATTGTCTTTTCTTTCTTTTATATAAACTTTCTCACATTCCTTTT